CCCCAGCCCCCTCCCAACCCGACCTACTCACGCCTGGCGGACGGGGGTGATGGTGAAGTTGTGGCGAGGGTAGTGCGGGGTTGGAAGCGTAAGCGCTGTGTTGTACGGAGTGAGTCTATGCAGTCGTTTCTGCTATGTTTGATGCATGTATATTTATGGTATACCGCCATTTATTGTGGAACGAGCCAGAGCCGGCGGAGAAGAATGAGGGGGGATTATACTGTACGACGAGGCCTCTTCCGTAAACAAGGGGACCTTCCCCGCAGCCGCCCTCTCGAAGGGGCAGGGGGCGCAGCGTGAGTGTGTGTGGGAGTTGCGATATGTGACGTCAGCTTGCGTCGCGCGTCGTAAGAGTTGTTTCTTATTTTTCCCAACTTAATATGGATGAAGACGAGGAGCTTTTGAGATTATGGTGCATAGGTTAAAAAGTTGCAGGGTATGGCGGTGAATCCACTTAATTGAGAGTTGAAAACAGTTGTTATTGGTCCTGCGAACCCTGTCGTCCACATATGCTATGATAATGATTGACAGTCTGACAGGGAAGGACAAGACACGCTGCCTCTTTCTGCTTTGCGTAAATAAAGGCCGGTCAGTCAATTGTCCAATGAAGAGTCCTCCAAGCAAGCCGCGAGGACGCGTTGAACAATCAATGAACAGACAGACTGGAGAACTGGAGTGGTTTTACGTTCTGGTAGAGACATCCACAATCCGAAACAGTCCCCAGAAGGGGCATCTGACATAATCTGCAATTTCACTGCCGACCTCAATATGGAAACAAAGTAGAAACGGTCCGACCAGTCGTCTTTTCAAACCTGAGGTATCAGAGCAACATGTAGGTCTGCGCGGGGAGTCCTTTAGCTTTGCCTATAACATCCGAGTGACTTTCGTGCGGTAAAGTCCACAAAATCGGCACACGCATCCGAGGTTCCATCGAACAGCAGGGCGATCGAAAACGTCCACGGCCGCACTGGTTTCCCGAATAGCGGACATCCAGGGAGGGGAGCTATGGGAGCAGCGTGGGGATGGCAGCTGAGGCGGGCTGGCGGTGGACGGGCATGGAGAGGGGAGGAGGCAAAGCGCGGGAGGAGGAGAACTGAGATACCGCTTGATACCGTGAGCGGGAGTTGTGTTAAAGGATACTCGCGGGGATTAGGATTAGGGGGTACAGCACGCGACTGCGGGGCGCAGTTCAGCGCCAATCTCGCGGGTACAAAAGGGAGGCGCGCGACGGTCCAGGCAGCACTGAGCGCCCCCGACATCTCGAGAGCAGCGGTGCAAGCAGGAGCCTACTCCAAACCTTTTCTTCTCGCTCGACCTTAAAGTCGGTAAGTTGGGAGACATGGAGTGCCTTAGTTAGGTTACGTAGGGCCTAGGTTCCCTAGCGCACCCTGGGCTGGGCATATGCCTATTTAGGGGATCATCCAGAAAGAACACCCGTCATTCGCCGTTGCCAGTAACCAGCCCAGTTCAGCTTCTGCAAGCTCTCATATCGCCTAGTGGGTAGGCAAAATATCGCCTGCAGTGCATGCATGTACTGCGGGGTGGCCTACCCCGAGTCCTGCAGGCGCGAAGATCCCATTGCTTGCCCAATGATTCCGAGAATGATTGTAATTGGTTATCTGGAAAAATTAATGTTTCGATCCTAAAGACCATACTGAGCGCACCCTCCCTCCCACAGGAAACAGGCGCTACCATGCAGGGCCTGCTGGAACCGGAGGACTACGTGCATGTGCTGGGGCCGAAGCTGTCGCCGCTGGACGAGCTGCGGTCCGTGTGCCACGCCACGGGCCAGGAGGACGCCTTCTACCTGTGCAACGTGGACGACGTGGTGCACAAGATGGAGCTGTGGCGCCAGCTGCTGCCGCGCGTCCGCCCGCACTACGCCGTCAAGTGCAACGCCAGCCGCGTCGTGCTCAACACGCTGGCCGCGCTCGGGGCGGGCTTCGACTGCGCGTCCAAGGTGAGGACCTGCTCGAACGGCGGCTCGCAGGAGGACAGGGGCCGTGCTCGTCACCATCGCGCATGTCTCACCCTCCCGCTTGGGCTCCGCAGGGCGAGATCGAGGAGGTGCTGAGCCTGGGCGTGGACCCGAGCAGGATCATCTTCGCGCAGCCGGCCAAGCCCGCGACGCACATCCGCTTCGCAGCGGGCCGCGGCATCAACCTGGCCACGTTCGACAACGAGGAGGAGCTGTACAAGATGCGCGCGCTGCACCCAAAGTGCCGGCTGGTGCTGCGCATCCGCTGCGACGCGGACGACGCCACCTACTGCCTGGGCATCAAGTACGGCTGCGACGCGGAGAGGGACGCGCCGCGGCTGCTGCGCACGGCGCGCGACCTGGGGCTGCAGGTGGTGGGCGTGAGCTTCCACGTCGGCTCGGGCTGCAGGGAGGAGCACGTCTACCGCAGGGCGGTGCGCGCCGCCAGGCATGTCTTCGACGTCGCCGAGGGACTGGGCATCCGGGGCATGAGGCTTCTCGACGTCGGCGGCGGCTACCCGGGTGACCCCGAGGATGAGCCCGTCTTCCGCAAGGTACGCCTCGCTGCTTTTTGTGTGGTATGAATCCGAAATGTCCAAAACAGTGAGGGTGCGTGCGTATATACGGTCCTCTAACTCACACCTACCACTTTCCTCCTGCAGATGGCGAAGGCCATCAACTCGAGCGTAGCCGAGTTCTTTCCCTCTCCCGACGTTGACGTCATCTCGGAGCCCGGACTATACTTTGTGTCTTCCGCCTTCACCCTGGCCGCGAACGTGCACTCCAAGAGGGAGGTGCGCAACGAGGCCGGCGACCTGGAGAGCGTCATGTACTACATCAACGACGGCGTGTACGGCTCCTTCTTCGACGTCCTCAACCGGAGAAGGTTCCACGGCCTCCCCCTCGAGGTGCGTGCCGTATTCGCGGTTGGTCAGCTGACGCCTTCCTGCCGCCCCGTGTAACGCCAGCTGCCCTGCCCCCACAGGCCCACGGCGAGTCGTGCGACGCGGTGCCCAGCTCGGTGTGGGGCGCGACGTGCGACGGCCTCGACAAGGTGGAGGACGGCGTGATGCTGCCGCCGCTGGAGCTGGGCAGCTGGCTCGTGTACCACAACGCCGGCGCCTACACCATCTCCCTGGCCTGTGGCTTCAACGGCGTCCCCATCCCCAAGGTCCACGCCGTCGTGTCGACCAGCACATGGTGAGAACCTAGGGTCGACTATCACAGCTCGAAAGGCCACAACGAAGTATTTAGCCGAGTGGCTTCGAGTGCTGTTTGTTACCGTTTCGTCGTGTCCTTCACGACAAATGAAAGATCACCGTGAAACTTAATCTTTGTTCATGCAGGTCGCAGCTCCGCGACAGAGCTCCCTTCACGGAGAGCCACTTTGTGCCCAGCTTGGCCACCGGCCGCCGACACACGAGCGCCTCGCTGGCTGACCCGCCCCGTCGTCTGACCCTGGCGCTACAGGTAATGTGTAGATGCACTACAAAAATACACATCACACACTTCACCTCTTCCGCAACTGAAAAGTTTGATTCTGTATATATTCTCCGATTTGCAGGCACCAGCCAGCATCTCGCAGTCCATCATGGAGTCCTTACCAGCGGACTGCAGGCGGATGTCTATCCTTGACCAGAACGACTTGACTGGAAGCAGACCAATCTACTGAGGGTAGACTGGACTTACAGAAAGAGAGCGCGTGTTTTCAAGACGACAAAACTGTTTTTTTTGTGGACGTACTTTTGTGATCTCGATAATAATTATTAATAATTACTTTTGTCTCAATTACTAAATACGATTTCCATTCTCTTCTTCTTTTCCTTCACCTGCCCTCTGCCCATTTTATTTTTAATATTTCTAAAGCGGTAAATGTCTCAGCGAAGCGTTTTAGCTGATAAAGGGTGCGGGCAGATAGCTAAACCGCCCGAAGCAGCCCCTCTCTGCCCGTCTCAGGCGTCCCTGTTTGTGGACCGTCGACATGACCGCATGCAGCTTCATCCGAACCAAAATTGTCGGCACTGAGATCAACTCCCGGGCAGGGTAAATTTTTTTCTTTGTCGCTTTTTGTCTCCCGTTAGGCAGGACCGAGCTCAGACTTCGGCCCCGGGGGAGCATCCGAGAGCCGAGCGTGTTAAAGCGTGATCGTTGGCTGATCGTGGGGATGGTCAGTTGATCGAATCCCGTCCGCGATCATTTTTCCTGCGCTGCTGGCCAAGTGTCTTCGGGCGTCAGCCACAGCAGAGATCTGGATGCCGCCGAAGGTAGCTCTCTGTATTGTTCCGTCGTGGCAAAGTCGGTAGCGTCCGGGCCCAGAATGAACCTGGTCACTGGTTCGAATCTCAGCCAGGTGATAATTTTCGCGCTCCGCTGGCCATGACTTTACAGCCGTGCGACACCTGATGTGATGGGCCGGTACGCAAACAGTCGCTGGTTCGAATCTAGTCGACGGAACCCTTTTTCCTCTGCCAGCCATATGTTTCGGGGTGAGAGCCACAGCGGAGATAAGCTTCACCGATGTAAAAGCCTCATCATTGGCTCAGTTGGTAGAGCGCGCGCTCGGGACGCGCATGGTTGTCGGTTCGAATACTGTCCGAGGTTCATTTTTTCCTATTGAGTAGTTTGCGGCGCGGGGACCAAGGGTTAAGACAAAAGACCAGCCGACATGGGGAGGTGGACTCGACCGCCTACTCAGCAGCCCCCCCCCCCTCGCCAAAAAACCACATCAAAATGTTCGCCCCGACCTGGACTCGACCCCTGGGCTGA